TTTGTCAATGTGCATATACAATTAGGTTTTCAAATCTTTTCAACTTTCAACTAGAGGCTTTATCAGTTACTCAATTTTTCTTTTTATCACCTGTTATACTTGTGACTTCATTTTTATTTTTAGTTAAGTTTAATCACGATTCTTATGAGTCTTACATAACGATTCTTAATAATCTTACATCACGATTCTTATGAGTCTTACATCACGATTCTTATGAGTCTTACATCACGATTCTTATGAGTCTTACATCACGATTCTTATGAGTCTTACATCACGATTCTTATGAGTCTTACATCACGATTCTTATGAGTCTTACATCACGATTCTTATGAGTCTTACATCACGATTCTTATGAGTCTTACATCACGATTCTTATGAGTCTTACATCACGATTCTTATGAGTCTTACATCACGATTCTTATGAGTCTTACATCACGATTCTTATGAGTCTTACATCACGATTCTTATGAGTCTTACATCACGATTCTTATGAGTCTTACATCACGATTCTTATGAGTCTTACATCACGATTCTTATGAGTCTTACAGTAACTTTTATAGCTAAGATCTTTATCTTTTTTTCACTTTTAAAGTTCTTTTTTCTTTAGATATATATTTTTCTTCTCTTTATACACACTTATCATGAACATCACAAAAGATTAATATAAATAACAGTCTAGAATATATCTACAATAAATTGTTTAGTTTTAATAAGAAATTAAAATGTTATGTTGGTTTGATTTTTCCAAACAGAATACTTAATCCTATAAATATTTCTAATATTTTTCAATTTTAATCAATAAATATTTAAAAAATCTGAAAAGCATTAACAAGTATCAAAGAATAGTTTATTAAAACTGACTTCTTTAATACTTTCAATTAGAAGGATCATATTTAATAATAAGTTTTGTTAAATTTTTTTACAATTTTTAAAATCGACCTTTTTAATATTTTTTTTCTTTTGATAGTTTTACTATTATTATTTCAAAATGATAGGGTTATTTTGTATGTTTAACTGAAAAAATTATGTATTATAAACTTGTCTACATTGTATTATTGTTATTTTATTTCTTTAGTTGTTCTTTGGTGTTCTATCAACTATAACTATTTTACTTTGTTTACTTAAAATATGGTTTTAATTTAGTAAGTTTTAATGATTTGAAATTTACAATGTTGATCATTAGCTAATAGTTATAAAAAAACTTTATTTGTTGCAATTAAGATAAGAATAACTTTATCATTTTCTTTATCTCTTTTTGTGACATTACAAAGTCTGTTTATATTATTAATTATTATGTTTTTTCTAATTTGCGTAATAGTTTATTGTCTTTGCAATAAGCAACTTTTTTCAGATTTTGAATATTTTTAACACTGCTCTAAAAAATATTGTAATATTCCCTAATAATGATTGTGGTATTCTATTTTTATAAGAATTTGTTTTGCCCATTAATAAAATAATTTAAATGTTATACTTACAATAAGTATGTGTTGGGGTTTTTATGAATTGTTATAAAAACATCCTTGACACATTTCCAATCTTTTTTACACCACAGTCAATAATGACTTGTATTATGGTTCATATCTGCTTTTTAAACAGTTTTTGCATATGACTTTATATAATGCCCTTTTATGATTTAAACAATATGATCAGGTTCTTTAATATCTTTATTATTCTGTATATATCTGCTTATTCAGTTTTCAGATTTAAAGGTGTTTATTAAATTTTATAATGATGTGACATAATCATAAAATCTGTCTATATATTTATTTATGGGTAAACCTAAATTTTTTTAAAATTGCTTTTTTAGAAAACTAAAATAAGGAAGGTGTCAGGTAATAAATTATCTAATTTTTAGTCTGTTAAACTGTTGTTTTTATAGATAATGTATTAAACCATGATAGTTTATCATATCATAAATGCTTCTTTTCATTTAAGATTTATCTAACAATGCTTTTTTAGCATATTGCCTGTATCCTATAAGGCTTATAGGATGTGGGCCCAAATTTGGGGAAAAAAACCTCTTCCCCCTTTCCTTTTTTTGGAAGAGTGCCCCCTTTAGAAAGCGAAGTATGAGGGAAGGGAGTGGTGGAAAAACAATACGCTACATCTATAATTAGTATTTTTGTAGCTGGTATTCTACTAATTGTAGATATGGTAAAATGTTTTTTGTAAATATATGTATTTTTTATATTTTGTTTTCTTATTTTATATTTATATAGTAATTGTAAATAACAAAAATTTGGTTTGTCAAATGCTTTGAGTTAAAAAAAAATGTCCAATGTATTGTGTTAAAAAAATATTTTTTGTTCTTTTTCATAAATAAGAATTTGTAGTGTTTTGTTTGAAAATAAATTTTGTTGAAAAGATCTATTTCTTTATCTATTCTTGTTCCTTTATCTATTCTTGTTCCTTTTTCTTAACAGTTAATGCTTTTTCTTAACAGCTAATGCTTTTTCTTAACAGTTAATGCTTTTTCTTAATAGTTAATGCTTTTTTTAATTTTCAAAAATATCTATTTTGTTTCTTTTTTTTTATAATTGATGTTTTACTAAATGTAAATATATATATAAATATATATATAAGTAAATTTTATATAACTATAAATTTCAAAAAACACCAGGAGAATGTCTTGCAATCATCATCTGGACTATAAATACTTATGTTATTAATGTGTTTACATAATTTATTAGGTAAATCTGCGTATCTAACATATTAAAGAGACAATTTTCTTTCCTAAAGTAGGAAGATGTTACATTCAAAATTTTTCTTCCAAAAAAAATGAGGTGAGATTTTTAATAAGCTGTGAGAAAAATATAAATCATATTTCAATTAATAAAAGAAGCTTGATAATATAATTTAAATTTTTTTTAATTATCATAGCAAAAAATTTAAACTGAGTATTTAATACTAAAAGAAATCATTTTGTGAAATGCTACTATAACAAATACTTATGTTACATAAAATAAAGTTTTCACCAAAAATTTATTTTCAAATATGTTTTGCCTTATTTCTTGATTGAAAAAAAATTGTACAATTTGTTATTTATAATTTCTAACTTATTTATAAATAATTTATTCATTGCAATGATTTAGAAAATGCCAGGAAAAGCTACGAGAAAAAAAAATGAAAAGATTGAAAACATGTTCTTAGCTATGTCCAACAATTTCAAATAGTAATAAAATAAGAACTCTAATATTTTAAGTCAACAATGTTTTTTTACCACTATTAAAATGAAAGTAAGAGATCCTCCATATATTATGCAACCCTAAATTTTACTAATACACAAAAAAAAAAAAGGAATCAAAAGTTTGTCTTCACAGAGCTTTAATTTAAATAAAAAAGCCCATTAAGTTTAATGAAAATTGCAGTGTAAAAGAATTTAATATCTCTTACTTCTGTTTTTAAAATAAATTTAGCGTTGCATAATTTATGAACAATTCCTAATCTAAATAAGTGAAGCAAAAAAGTTAACATTTATGTCATATTCAGTAAAACATTAAGTAATATTCAGTAAAATATTAAGTAATATTCAGTAAAATATTAAGTAATATTTGTTATCTACGTGAATTAAAGTAGCATATTGAAAACAATAAAATTATTTTAAATACATTTTTAAAACTCAAATGATTTTATAAAATTTTAGTAAATGCATTTTCCAAATTACATCTGATTATTAATCAAATCTTGTTTTTGAAAACTCTTTAGTAACCGGTTGAAAAAATTTTAGTAAATGCATTTTCCAAATTGCATCATGCGCTTTTCAAATTACATCTGATTATTAGTCAAATCTTGTTTATCAAAACTCTTTGGATAACCGGTTGAAAAATTTTTCAAACAGTTATCCATGATACATTGAAAATCCATGATTTCATTTTTAAAACATAATGCTATAAAAGTATGAACAAAACATGTTTTTGATACTGAAGTTTTTATTTTTGAAAAAATCAGAAATTTTAAATCACCATATCTCAAGACCCACTAAAGAAATTTGCTGAAATTTTCATTTATATAAACCAACCCACCAAGGGGTTCATCTACATTAGGTTAGAGCACATCAAATATAGTTTACGGGTGATTTTAATAATGGTTATATTTTTTTGGAAGAAGAAAAAGATTTTGAAAAAGTTTGTGTGGCTATATTAAGCAGTTTGCAGAAAACTCAGTTATTTGGCCAGTTTATTCAAGATTCGCTTTTATTTCAGAGCTATTCATGATCTGGTTAGCCATGTTAAAAATCTCAATAGAATGTTTTTTCATTAACTTTTCTATGAAAACCTTGAACAAAAAGTATTATGAAATCATTTTTTTTTTATTTAATTTAAAAAAAATGATTTCATAATACTTTTTGAATATAATAAAAGCAACTTTGATTGCATTAGACAGAAGCTACAAAAACATACAAAGGAAAAACTGAGTGTTATTTATTTACATTATTACGCCATTACACCAAAAGAATTATGAAATTCTTTATAAAAATTTGTAATAATTATGTATTTTACAAAGTTATTTGTATAAATAACTCTAAAACTATTTATTGAAAAAAAACTAGATTACCCTACATAAGAATGATGTGTTTACAAAAATATGAATAAAGTTATATATGTACAAGAGAGTTGAACATTTTATTAACATTATACTTGCATTGTTTTACAATAATATAAAACAATATTATTAATCCGAAGATGTAACCCTAGATGTCAACATTTAAATCAGCATTTAAATCTTGACTTAATATTGGCATTTTGCCAAATCTAAGAATAAAAAACCTTTGTGGACGTTATAAAGTATACTATTAAAAGGAAAAAGAAAATATTAATAAGACATAAAAAAAAAACTACATTCTGCATCAGTAAGTGTCAATAACAAATTCAAACAATTGATTAGGAAACAAAAAAATGAATATAAATATAGGGTAGCCAAAAATCTAATAAAAGTGTGCAAAATGTTACAAGAGTTGTCTACAATACTGTATAAAAGTAAATTTAAATAAGCTCACTTACACTAGTAAAGTATTGACTTCCAACTGTAATCAGACAAGATTTCTTCTAGGAACACATAAATAACCATTGGAATCCACTTGATAATGATGCTGTCGCAGTCACTTTCCTTGAATGTTTTAAAACAACACTTGTTTAATAAAGCTTCTTTACAAGCTAATACCTACATGTTAAATTAACAGAGCAAGTTTATATGTATATACTTTTAAGTTTGTGTATGTCTTTAACATACCTATATACATACTGCCAATCAAATATATATATAAATATATATATATATATATATATATATATATATATATATATATATATATATATATATATATATATATATATATATATATATATATCAAAAAAATAACAAGCATTTTTACTATGTCAAAAAAGTTCACCCCCAATTAAAAAATATTTATAAAAAAATTAAAAAAATGTAGTTTTGTAACACATCTTCCACTACTTTACAGAAACTAATAAACATGTATAATTAAAAGTTGTCTACTGTGTATTTGACAATAAGTATTTAATATTTAGTTTTTCTATGCTATGGCATAATGGCATTAAATCTTGCATCACTTTCACAGCACGTTCTGCACATATATTTGACCGTTGTGTTGGTATTGGTGTTGGCTCAGTGGACCAAAACCTTTTCAATGATTTCATTGCTTTGGGATGCTCATTGCATGCTTCTAATAGATTAACAAAATCTGCAGGTATGAAGTAGTGACCCCCAAACCATATATCAACCCATGAACCACAGATGAAGTCACATGCTGCTTGAGTAGATTCTAATTCTTGGTATTCTGGTATTAAAATGTAAGCAAGTAGAATAAAAATGGCTCTCAAATTCCATCTTGCATTGCTTATAGCAAGAAGTGATTTGAAATTAACTTTTGGAAAGTTACCTGTGCTTTTAAACTTTCTATAACATGCTATTAAGTGATTCAGGAAATCCATGTCATCTCTCCAGCAAGTTCGCTTCAATTTCGTCAAAGGATTTCCAATATTACAAAATAAAAACTTCAAGTTCTCGTAATCTTGCTGCAACCTTGTCACAAAAGGGTAATGGAGATATGGTGACATTTTTGATCCTTCAAAATGATCATTCATGACATGTTTTAAAAGAGTATCTAGAATATGGTGTTGGCATCCAATAAAAACAGGCTTTTCTAGTCCAATGGTTTTAAAATGTTTCTGTAACAGTGTAACTACACCATTTCTTAATCCTGCATTTGTAGATGTTGTGTCAGATACGATCATTTTTATGGCTGGCCACAGCTCATATTCATCTAGCACATGCTTTATCCCATAATATATTGTTTCACTTTTTCCATTCATCAGCTCCAGAACAGCAAGCCGAACCTCTCTATTTTCATTTTTCAAAACAACTACTTCATATTCCATTTTCTTTATGTGTTTTCCATCAAAGTGCAAAGACCACTTTTCATTTTTTAAGTTTTCCATATAATTTACTTTCAACTTTTCCCCTTCTTTCATAACACCTTTGTAGATACCATTTTGCGTTGGAGTATAAATAAAAATACAACTTTCTGAGAGAGTTTTACATACTTTATGTGCTTTTTTGGTACTAATCTTTGCAGAAATCACTAAATTTACTGCTGAATTTGTTTCTTGTTTTTTAAATGATGATGACGGACCTTCAGCTTCAATATCACTGCTGGAACACTGCTCTTCGCTTTCTGAAGAATCTCCTTCACTAGCTGATTCAACAAAATCTTGTCCTTGACTGATGGACATTTGTTTCTTTATCATCACTAATTTTCTTGGATGAATACCTTCAGCATCTTTAATTGTGGTATAATATCTAGCTCTTCCATTTGTTGACTTTTGAAGACAATAAAATTCTTTATCTTCCTGACACAACCATTCACCTTTCTTATCGGTTATGTCAAACAATCGTGTAAAATTTTGAGTTCCGGGTTTTCGACTATCTTTGTCAAGTTTTTTCAATACATTTTCTATTTTTCTTTCTGCTGCCGATTTCCCTTGTTGAATAGGAATATTTAGCTTTCTCCATAGCAATTTAGTTTCTTTAACCACAATTGTAATTCTCTCCTTTCTACTTTTCACATTTGATGACAAACTTTTAAATCGATCAATGATACGCTGTTCTGTTGGCAACTTATTCATTTCACTAATACTTTTAACAACAGTAGTACATCTTCTGGAAGCTTTTTCAAACCTTATTAAATTTGATTCCCAAACTTTCTTATTCTTGTTTGAAGCAACACTATTTTTGGACATAATGTTCAAAACACAAGATAACAGTTTGACAAACTTAAAGAAGACAATTCCGGTTATATACAAAAAACCAATTATAAAATGCTGAAGCACTTCCACACGGTCCAACAGGGTTGAAATCGAAAATTGCAGTTATTAAAAATTGCAGTTATCTAGTAAAGAAATCTGTAGAATTTATGACGTTTGTAATCATAGTCATATATTGAGTAAGATTGTGTTGTGTCTCTATTAAGTAATTTATAACTCACTAAAAAGATAGAAAAAATTATTTTTAGCTTGAGGGGTGATCTTTTTTGACAATTTACATAAAAAAAAATAGATTTTATGTTTATAAATATAATTTCTCCACTCATTGTTACATGGGGAATAAAAAATTTTAAATTTTTTTTTAGTCATACCCCTAATATACATATATATATATATATATATATATATATATATATATATATATATATATATATATATATATATATATATACATATATATATATATATATATATATATATATATATATATATATATATATATATATACTACTATATGGTTTTAACGTTTAATGATCTCAATTTTTTGACATCAATATAAAAATTTAAGCAAAATTAAATAGTTATTTTGCTTAAATTGTTCTCAAACAATGTTTTTCCTACCTATCAAAAGATCTATTAATATTTAATTAACTTTTAAACTAAAGTTAAAAAAAACTGTTATGATCTTAATTCTGTATTTTTGCTTATTAAATACAAATTTTGTGCTTTTTATATACTGCAAAATAAAGATTATTTTGGTCTCAAAACTATTTTTATTTCAATAATCAAAAATATTTAGTACTTAATTTGATAACTTAAAGGGTATTAAAATTTTTTATTTTTAAGTTTGCCTTGCAATTCTTGCCATTCAAATTTGATTGGCCAAAATTATTGGGAGATCAAAACATCATTTTATCCTAAAGTAGACTTTAGGATAAAATGATGCTTTTTATATACTTATACTTTTATTATATATATATATATATATATATATATATATATATATATATATATATATATATATATATATATATATATATATATATATATATATATATATATATATATATATATATATATATATATATATATATATATATATATATATATATATATATATATATATATATATATATATATATATATATATATATATATATATATATATATATATATATATATATATATATATATATATATATATATATATATATATATATATATATATATAATAAAATTAAATTTGAAAAAATTATTGTTAAATTAAAAATATCTAATAAATAAACATTAATGGTAAAGAACATTTTTAAATTTATGTAAAACCTTTGCTTAAAACGTTATGTATAATAAAAATACATTTTTAATTTCAATTAAAATTTTTTTTAATTTTAAAAATTAATTTTCATTAAAACATTTGCAAAAATTGTAAAAACATTTTTTCAAGAAACAATTAAAGAATTTTGTATGTAGCATACTTTAAAATATTAATGTTTTAACAACAAGAAAACATTAAATATAAATTTATTTTAAGCAAATTCTATTTAACAATTTTATTTTTCTAACAACTTCACTTCCAACAAGGCTGCAAGCAACCACTTTTAGAATTAGAAGTAACTGGAGAAGAAAAGATGAAGTTAATAAAGCAAGATAACAATTAACAGACGACTTAAAAGATTGCAAATTATAGAAATCAGGAAAACAAGCGCATGTTCTACCTATTTATCAGTTGATGCAGCAGCACTCCAAACATGTTCTACCTATTTTTCAGTCAAAGTAGCAGCTTTTTTTGCATGTTCTACCTACAGTAGCGTGCAAAATTTCTGGCCAGTAACACTTTGTACTCTAAAAACTTGGTTGTATCTTTGGGGTCAATATCTTATTAAAATTTTGTGGCATTGCAGCTTCAACATATAATAACAAATTTAATTCTAAAACATCCTTGTAAATAGAAGTGGACTGACTTCTTTCACAGAGAAACTTCCCCAAACCTTCACACTTCTTCCACTATGTTTTAATACTTATATTTGAAACTACATTTTTAGTTAAAACTTCATTTTATGCAACATTACTTATTGTTATAGTAGAATTTCATAAAACAATTTCTCTTAGTATTAACTGTTCAGTTTACATTTTTAAATATTTTTAAAAAACTGTTTCTATATTTAAAAAAATATATTTATCAACAAGTTTTTTGAATGTTATCAAACTTTTTTTGGATGTTTTCAAACTTTATTTAGAGTTATCATTTTAAAAGGAATATAAATTAGTTAATTTTAAAGCATTCAGTTATTTTTGTATTTATAAGTTCTGAAGAACTAATACTAAAATTAAAAGGAGTATTAAAAATATAGTAAGCCACAACGATCTGTGCATCTTGTAATCAAATGTTAATATGCATATGATAGCAAAGTAATAGCTGAAGTTAGCAATGAAACTAATGCAACCATTTTGAAAAATGATATTTATATATTAGAAAAATGGGCAATTAACTGGAAGATGCAATTTAATTTTAAAAAATGTATAATCATGCATATAGGTAATTAAACCATAAATATTTTATGACTAACAATAGGTTAATTCCACAACAAAATATCCATTGAAACATGTGTCTTCTTTTTGTGTTATATTTTGACACATGGTTCCTAATTATAAAAAAATATTGCATGCAAAATTTCAGCTAAAAATGTTGAGTGGTTGACTAGATTCTGCAATTTTAATTTTGACCTGGTTTCCTAAAATGACCTGGTTTTCATAACCTTCTAAAAACATTTTCCTTAAAAAAATAAGAAATAAAAATGGCAAAAATATGAAAATAAGTATATATATATATATATATTTGTTAATACTCAAAATGCTGAATTATTAAAAGAACATGCTTAAAAGTTGATAAAACAACTTCTATAAACTAACTAGAGGGGATCTCAAAACTCAATTTTTTTTTTTTTTTTCAGCTGCTTATAATCGAAAATTACGAAAAACAACTTCAACATATAGAACTTTAATTTCAATCTTTTAAGAATTTCCTAAAAAATATTTGTAAATAAAATAAGTTTAAAAAGTTACTTAAATATACAAGATTTTCAAAGGTATCGAAAATCTTTGACTGTTGTTTGTAATAGTTCATGATATTGGTTGTAATAGTTCATGATATTGTTTGTAATAGTTCATGATATTGTTTGTAATAGTTCATGATATTGTTTGTAATAGTTCATGATATTGTTTGTAATAGTTCATGATATTGTTTGTAATAGTTCATGATATTGTTTGTAATAGTTCATGATATTGTTTGTAATAGTTCATGATATTGTTTGTAATAGTTCATGATATTGTTTGTAATAGTTCATGATATTGTTTGTAATAGTTCATGATATTGTTTGTAATAGTTCATGATATTGTTTGTAATAGAATGAGTTTGTAGCTTTTCAAAGCAAGATAAGCAATAAAGCAATAGTTCAACAAATGTTGGAACATCTGTTAAACGCAATAGTTGCACAATCAGTAGTTTGCCAATGCTTTTAGTGTATCTCAAAATCATCTTCATATTCTCCAAAAATCTCATAGGAACATTTGGTGAGCGGTTCTTTACCAAGACAATTATCACACTATGCAAGCATGTATTCTTTGTTTTCTACTGAGCAAACAGTTTTCGAAAGTAAATCTTTATACTTCAGTTTAACATTTAAAACATCCACTAGCAATATGGTATTTTGAAGATAAGAACAAATACAAACAGGATATGTACTACTTGCACCAGGCAAAATGCACTACTTTGGTCTAAGTGAAGCAAATTGTGAATAATTTATTTGGATTTCTGGATTGTTTTCTATGTATAACACATATAGTTCCTTTAAATCACACAAAATCAGTTTTTTTTTGTTTATGGGCGTTCTTTTGAATGCTAACACAATCTTTTTTTTCCAGGCATAGTTCTACATAAATTACTTGAGTCATAAAATAATTTAGTTTTCTATTTCTTTGTGTAAGACTTTATCTTTATACAGCAGAGAGATAGCTAACAATCCTTTCTGATTAAAAATTCCTCTAGCCATTTTTACTTGGTATTCTGTAACTGCAAAGTTATTTTGTACTTCTAATATAGACCAACTTGGGGGGGGGGGGGGAGGCAGTGTTAAAAGTTAAACAATAGTCCTTTTTTATAATCTTTTCTTTCACTTGATATGAACTCTTCCTCAAGTAACTTTGTCGTCCTTCAACCACTCGCAACTTTTCTTTTTAGTAAAAGTTAGTCACTAAATTGCTTGCGGGTTTATTTATTTAAAAAAAAATTTTTTTACTAATAAATTTTTTTTTTAGATCGGCAAGATTGCTTGTAGGTTTGTATTTTAGTTTTTTAATTTTTTTAATAATTTTTTTTAGTTTTGTATTTCATATGAAAAATTTGTTAAGACTAAAAAGTAGAAAATAAAAAATATAGCAAAAAAATTTGCTAAAAACTATAATCTTTTTTGAACTAAAAAGTAAAAAATAAACTTTTTGATTAAAATTTAATAGTTCAGTAAACTAAAGATTGACAGGTATGTTTCTAAATAAATCTTGTGCAGACCTGTCAATCTTTAGTTTACTGAACTATTAAATTTTAATCAAAAAGTTTATTTTTTACTTTTTAGTTCAAAAAAGATTATAGTTTTTAGCAAATTTTTTTGCTATATTTTTTATTTCAGCCTTCTTTTTCATGTTATTTGTTTAATAACACAGTTTTGAGGGAATATTGACTTGACTTTCAATTTTTCCAGTAATGTTACTTACCATTTCATTGATGCGAGCAACTTTTTACTTTCCTTCTGAGAGTATGTTTTGATGACATTGAATGAGATTTTAGAGGAAATATATTAAAATTTTTGAGTTCTTCATTGATCTCCTGTCTTTTCAATTTGAATGATGATATTAGAAAATCCTCATCTTATTCACCCTGACTTTGCTTCTTTTCTTTAGGATCTTCTTTTTTGGCAATCTTTTGCTTACAAGGTTTGCAATGTTTCTTTCCAGAATCATCATGACTTGTGACTCTTTTATCGTAACTTACACTAAGATAAAAGTAATTGAATTGTATAAAGTTTATCTGCGAATTGTTTAAAACTTTATGTTTTAAAAAATACAAACTAAAAAAGTATATATATAAAAAAAAAAATCTAAATTTTATGTCTATTTACTTGTGATTTTCTTTGTATGTTTATTGAATGGATCACAAAAAGCTTTTAGCTATATGGGATACATTTTCAAATATTTTGTAATATCTCTTTCACATAATATTGTTAAATTTGATAGTTCAATGTTACAGCATAATTATATAATTATTTTTTTTTCATTGCTTAAAGTTTCAATAGCACCTTATTGGCATTTGCATGCATCTGATGTCATTAAGCCAATAGAACACAGATTTTGATAAATTACTTAGTATGAATATATTTCCTTAAAAAAAAAGAGAATTCTTTTTTCCTAATTAATTTTCAGTTCAAAAAAAAAAAGTTTTTAATATAGAAATAATTCAAACATTTTCAGAATCCTTCTGTAGTATGTTTTACACTGATAGGTATTGTTAATTTTATTTATAGACATATTTATATATACACAATCTATATATATTGAATTGTAAATTTGTTTAAATTTAAATAAAATAAATATTGTACTATAACTAAACTTTTTATAAACGAATTTTTATAAACTTTTACAAACTAAAGTTGTCAAAATTTTAAAAACAAATGCACATCAGTATCACACACTTTATCAGATTTTACATAGAAATAAAACAGGATGTTTCAGTTGTTAAGATTAAATAATTAAGTTATCATATAACTAAGACTATAATTAATTCTTAAATATAAAAAAAATTTGTTGCAATTTTTGCAAAATTACAAAATTAATGCAAAATTACCCAGTTATATTCATGCGCATTTAGAATTACCAGTATGTAATCCTCATTTTGAAAAAGGTATATATTAGAAAATATATTTTTCAAAGTACCGAAGTACCAGTATGGAATCCTCATCAAAAAGAAAATATTTTAAAAAAAGAAACAAAATCTGCAGTGAATTTATGTCATTTCTCATATAATAGAAGGCTAAAAATAATGAAATTGACATTCTTAAAACACCAAAGAACATTAGGTGATCTCATACAAATGTGATACCATAATATTGTAAAAATAACTTGTGGTACCATAATATTGTGAAAATAACTTGTGGTACCATAATATTGTGAAAATAACGTGTGGTACCATAATATTGTAAAAATAACTTGTGGTACCAAAGCATTCATGCTCTTTAAGCGTTTCATGACCATTTTTAAATATTCGAGGAAACAGACATTATTTATACGCTGACAAGAACTATTTGAATTGTAATCGTGAGAGATTTTTACAAACCATACAGTCAAATTCTGAAATAAATTGCCATTTGAAACAACAAAAGTTATTAATATTAATCTATTTAAAGCTAAGCTAGACTTAATTGAGTATATTTGACTTTTTCATTTTGTCTATAATATATTTAACATGGCATTAAATCTCAACAGTATTGTATTATTATTGTTATTACTATTATTTGTAATAACAGTAATGTGGTTATCTTTTGTGATTAATTTAAGACTAATTGAATTGGTGAATGTTAAAAGGGCGGAAATCCAACCATGAAAACTATCGGGAAAACTTAAAAAAACTGCATTTTCCCTGTAGTAAATTTTTGTTAATGATTTAATAATTTTTTTTTGAAGAGGATATTTTTCACCTTCAAAAAAAAAAATTATTGAACCATTAACAAAAATTTACTATGTGGGAAAATGCTGCTTTTTTTAGTTTCCCGAAAGTTTACATTATTGGACTTCTGCCCTTTTAACATTCACCAATTCAATTTAAGTTTGATTGTCTAATATTTAGTTCATGCTTAAGTCCATTTTTTATAATTATTTAATATTATTATTTTTAAATTTCTTTGTAAACAGATTAACTTGGTATTCAAATTAAGCGAAATTTTAAATAAACCAAAAAAATTGCAAAAAAAGATATCACAAAACTTATTTTTTAATTATTTTTAATCAAAAAATTGTAAAAAAAGATATCACAAAACTTATTTTTAATAAAAAAAAAAAAGCAGTTTTTCTGCAATAAAAATTTAAAATAATTATTGGACGATTGAGCTTAAATTAAACTTAAATTAATTACAAAAGATAACCATAGAACATAAAAAAATGCAGATAAAAAAAATACATTATGAATAAATAAATTATAAATCATCAGATGAAGGTGGTTTGGGTCCAGGAAACTCAGAATCAAAAAGCTAAATGATTTTTTAAATTCAAACTTTCATATATTATTTACAGTAGTACATTGTTTTACAGCTGCCAATGCATTTATAATTTTTTTATAAAGTTTCAAAGCCGTGGCTAGGCTACACTATACACCCCAATTAGAGGGGGCCCATTCGGAAATTATGGGGCTCTTTTGGAAATTTATATTTTTTTTTTTTAGTAATACCTTGTGGAAATTGGTGGGAGCCTATGACCCACTAGACACGGTACTGTGTTTAAATGTTAAAATTACTAAATAAATGCTTTTATTTGCTTAAATGTTAACATTTTTAATTTATTTATGAACAACACTACTTAGAATCTTCGACAACTAAATTGATTACCATTTAAAAATAACAAAACATATTAATAATTCAAAATTTTCAAATTTTTCTGAAAAAATAAGAACTGGCTTCTTCTTTATATGCCTACTCACATTATATATTTTTTTGACAAATATGTTATATTTGACAAATATGTTATATTTGTCAAAAAAATATATAATGTGAGTAGGCATATAAAGAAGAAGCCAGTTCTTATTTTTTCAGAAAAATTTGAAAATTTTGAATTATTAATATGTCACAAAAATTGAAAAACTAAATTACTACAAGATATACAAATGCTCAAATAAATAAGCAAATTTAAGCATTAAATTCATTTTGAACATTTTAAGTCTGATATTAAATTGTGTGCTGTTTTTCATCTTGTATGTCCACGCATGAGAATTTTATTTTAGACAACTTGGTCACAGCTGTTTGCAAGTTTTACTTTTTTTTAAAAAAACCGGACATAAAAGACAAAAAACCGCACGCATTTCATTGGATGGCTTGGGCATGGTATTATATACTAATATTGAAAATTCGATGCACGCATTTCATTGGATGGTTTGGGCATGGTATTATATACTAATATTGAGGTTCAACACCAGCTCTAGCCCAACAAGCAACATTGGTACAGAAGGAGGCGTAAACTTCTTGTTGAATGCTCTCCAGTTCATCAACATTCCCATACAGTATGCCTAGATTTATAAATAACTTATAGCTAATTTAATTATTTGTAAAAAGTATAAATTAGTGTTTATACATATATTTGTACTTATAATGACCATATGCTAAAAATATACTAGAATAAAAGAAAACTATTCTGAAATTTATGTAATCAGTTCAAGAATTCTTCAAGGAGAGTAAAGTTTGTGGTTTGAAATAGCCATCCCAATCACCTAATATATATTTGATTGAACATTCGTTAAAAGATGTTGACCGTCAAATGAAAGTCATCAAGCCTACAAATCATACTAAATTATTCAGTAAAAACATTGATGTTTGCATTAAGTTGACTCCATGTCTCATAGATGCCAATCAGACCTTGATTGTAAAGGATACCAAAATACTAATGTGATTTCGCTTTTCTATAAACCTTTTATCAAATATTATTGAAAAATTTATACTTTTTAAAAAAAAAATTTTATTTTTTAAAATTCTTTCTTTTTTTAATATTTTTTTTTTCGAAGAATTTTTAAAAATTTTCAAAACTTCAACTTTTTAAAAATTATCAAATTGTCTGCAAATTTTGAACTCATCAAAAATTGTCATTTTTTAAATGAACTAAAATACATTAAATTAAATAATCAATATATTCAAGAAACTCATGAAATTTGCTTCCAGACTTCTGCCAAATATGAGAGGTGTATTTTTAAGTGAGGGTTGGTGTGATGGTGAATGACCCATTAATATAAATATTTTTATCTTTATTAAAATGAGTAAATCTAATAAAAAAAATAAAAAAATGGCATTTTACTACTATACAACATATACTAGTAGTATATATATTAATTTAGGGTGAGGAGCGTGTACCTCTTCCCTCCCCCTCCACTCCCCCTGCGTCTCCCTAACTTAAAAAAAAAAAAATTTTAACTTTTCAAATAAAGTTAAATTGATATTATTTGAAATGTGAAAAATTAGTATAAATTTTTTATAAAATTGTGGTTTGGCCATTCCATGTCAAATCAGCTATACCATTTCACCTTTTATTTTTGGTTCTGTAAACTTTAATATTTTATTTCTGTTTTTTTTTTTAATTAAACCTAAAAGCATTTAAAAAATGTAAGTAAAAAACTTAATATGTAAGTAAATAATCGTTAATCTAATAAAACCATTATTTAACATCTCCAATATTTTGTATAAATAATTTAAAAAACTTTTTTAAATAAAAATATTTTGTAATGTGAAAGATTATACACTTTTTTTTATTTACGTTTATCACAAAAAAAAACAAAATTAGGTACAGCAAGTAGCATGACTTGAAAAAAAGTACCTGCAAGTGGTGCGACTTACAAAAAGGTACCGATTCATTACAGGTCAGCCTGAACATGTCAACTTTTTTTGCTATAGTTAGTTTTAACATGTACTACACTAATTAAAAAATTTTATGAGTAAATGTTACAAAGATTTTTTTAAAGATTTAATTTAGAAGGTTTAAATTTTAATATACAATACACCATTTGCTGTACCTACTTTGCACGGTCGACACTTGAAGTACTTTATTTATATACATGTAAATAATATACATTTATATATTGTAAAATTAATTTATATAAAATATTGTATACATTATGTATGAATAAAGTCACATAACTAATATTTTTAAAGTTTATCATAGGTGCACATTTAAAAACACATAGTCAATTTTTAAAAATATCCAAACAATATTCAAATCAGTCTTATCAATTTTCAAGTAAAAATTCTGTCTGCTTTTTTTTAATTTACTTTTTCTACTTGCCCCATTATTGCCAAAACTATTTTTAACAATTATATTTACAAAAGCTGTTTAACTACAAAATATATATAATAAATATACAACTATAAATAATTTGATTTATAAAAGCAAATTTAGATCCCTCTCCATCCGTCCCCCACACCATCCCACCACCACCACCATGTCTTTCAAAACAAAGATGGAAAAATAAAATTTAAGTACCAAAAGTGCTGCACAAAATAGGGTATGTGCTGCATAAAATTATTTAATGAAATTTGGCAGGGGCAAAGAAACATCTCAACTTAACATTGAGAATAGGTTAGAAAAAATCCCGAGCATATCTTCAACATTTACTGAATGCACAAAAAACAACTAAGTTTTTGCCATTAAAATTAAAATTTTTAAAATAAAATTTTTTTCATTGTAATCAAAAGATTCAGTTTTAGTTTTTAAAAAATATCAATATTACTATATAATTATAAATAAAAAAACAACAAAATATCTTTTTTACTCACTGGCTAAAAGCAAACTTCAAAATGTGTGGCATAGAATTTTAGTACAACCTTCGGTTCTGTAAAATGCGGAATTCTACATACCTAATATATATATATATATATATATATATATATATATATATATATATATATATATATATATATATATATATATATATATATATATATATATATATATATATATATATATATATATTAGGTATGTAGAATTTCAGTTAATATTTAAGCGAATATTATTTCTTTTTAAAAAAGGAGGTGAGTTATTATTTACAGTTATTAAACATAATTGTTGACAAAAAAAATTTAGAATAGCCTTTTTAACTGTAGTGGCTACCACTGAAACCTCGAAGCCTCCGAGGATTAAGGCTTTAGAAGTAGCCACTACAGTCAAAGAGGCTACTCTAATTTTTTTTTAAATATAAATTCGATATATTAGCATATTGTTCCAATATATACATAAATCTATATTATGTACTTATAAGCCCAACTGATAACCTTTGTATAGTCCATTGTCATTATAAGTTTTTATTTATTAAAGTTTTATTTAGTAAAGTTGACTTACTTGGATTTTAGCAAGAATTCCTATAAAGAAATAAATAGATAAAATACTTTTTTCATATTAAACTAAAAACATGGTGCACCATATTTCAGCTCATTTTTTTGAAAGTTTTGTATATTTTGTAAAATATGTAGTAGGATATATTGACAATTGCATCATAAAATGAGTAAATAAGGAAATTTGTTGTAGAAATTAAAGTATGTGAGCATTACTGAAAATAATAGAATTTGCATTGCTGAAAATAATAGAATTTGGAAACAATTGAATAAGTGCGACTTTGCATAGGTGCAAAGTCAAATAAGCGCAAAGTGGTTACAAAAACTTGAAATAAATGCTAACTGACAAAAGTGTGACGAAAGAATTTTAAAAAACTCATTAAATTGTGTAAATTTACATAAGTGCAAATCTTCTTGAGCGCAATGCAGTTTTATGCCCTATTCACATGATTGACATTTGGCGGAACATTATTCCAGAAGAAATGTTACAGGAATAAAACATTCTTCAAAATGTTCCTTGCAGCATTTACAAGAAAAATTGACTTGACAGTACGTAAAAGAAAAAATGCGTAAACAAACATTCATAGGTACTTATTGGATAAATAAACCTAAGCAAATAAGATTTAAATATATATATAAAAACAACAAAACCATACAAAGTTTTATGCCGTCACAGGCTTGGATAGGAATGGCGTGCGATCGCATTCTGTAACTGACCATGCTAACTTTTTTTTTCTTTACAACTTGACCACGGCTATTTTGATATTTTAACAATTCTAATGCAATAAAAAAAGTGTTATGTTATGAATAACTTTTAATCATTGAGCTTTTCTAAAGTTTTTATTTTACACAAAACCTTTAAATAATATGGGCATGTGTATTTTATGATAAATTTAAATGTTTAAAACTATTTTTCCATGTCTTTCTAAAAATTTTTTAAACCATTAATTTTAGACAGAATTTTTTTAAGTTAGATTAATTTATGAATAAGTTCAAAACCTCAATTTCATTATGAATGAGTTAAAATCTTTCATAATAATTTTTAAATTTGTTATGTGAAGCACTTATCAATAAAGTTTTAATGCTTAAATTAAAATTAAATTAAATTGCTTGTTGGAAGTTTATTTTATTTAAATCGCAGGCGCATTTTATTCATTTATTTTTTCCTTTTTTTTACGAATAAAAAAATTTAAAATCTTTTTTTTAACTAGACTTACTAATTAGAGCATGAAACTATTAAAAACTGCTATTTTAAAAAGACATTATTTAAAAAAAAAAAATTTTCTTTTGCAACTTTTTTGAAAAATTAAATGTTTATACAATTTAAAAATATTATATAAACACTTTTTAATAAATTTGATAAAATTTGGTCATTTACTAGTAGTAATTTGTTACTTAATTTTACTTAATCATCACTTAATCATTAGTAGTAATTTGTTAATTAATTTAAAAGCATTTTGCGTAACTTAAATAAAACGTTCAAAAAGATAAGCTTTAATAAGATTTATTTCAAACGTAATTAAAAACGTAAAAAAAGTTTCGCTTCTAATTCAAGTTTTTATTTTTATTTTAGTGCTTATATAATTTCTTTTTCGTAAAGAATTTTTTTTTCGTTTTTTTTTCAAAAAATTCAAAAAATAAATTCATTTGCGTGGTCAGCAATAGCGCTCGATCGCACACCATTGCTGTCCAAGCCTGATATATATATATATATATATATATATATATATATATATATATATATATATATATATATATATATGTATGTGTATATATGTATATGTATATATGTGTATGTGTATGTATACATGTGTGCATGTATATATATGAAATATATATACATACACACATGTATACATACATATACATACATTCACCTTTGTATGTAAATATAACTTAAGTAAATATAATAGTCATCAAAGTATATCAAAACATTTTATTGCAATTTTTTATAAATAAATAAAAAAGTGAAACTCAAACAAAAATTAGCAACAAACAGTTTTGCATATACTCATTTTAAAATTAATTTATCAATTTTTAACAATTAGTTAACAAGAGGTAAAACTAAATATAAATAACGGTGAGGGCCCAGCTAGCTCAGGGTTAGACAATAAAAATCCAACCCAAAAAAATCTGCCATAAAAAAGGTGACTTTAGGATTTAGTTATCCAGTTTCTTATAAGGTTTGGCTTTTATGGATAGGTCATACCTCCTTTAGTTAATTTTGAAAACATAGTACAGTACAGCCCTCAGAATTAGGATCAGCATTCAGCAATGCCAACCTAATAAATTGTCAACCTCGTTTCTATGTTTTATTGTAAGACCTTTGTATCAATTTTTTTGCTGACCTGATGCAGACCTGTAAAAGATTGAGGTCTGCAAATTATTGCCAACCTTTTTTCTCCTAACTCCGAGGGTTGATAGTAGTCCATCAGTGGTATAGTACTGAATAAATATATTACATATTAACAAGCCACCCATGACCATTTAAAACTAGTCTTAGTTTGTGTTCATACAGTTAAAATATTGAAAAACCTTATATAAATATTGCATAAATATGTAAACAAGTAGTACTGTTGAAAAAAATATTGACCTTTCGACTTTAACATAGTTAATTACTAAAGAGATATCTTGACTAACAGGACACTTTATTTTTTAATTAAGAATTTTATAATATTCTATTTGGGCTTTAGACAAATTTACTTGGGCTTTAGATGCATTTTCAATTGTATCATAAATTAGCTCTAAAGCAGCGACTTATCTGATTCATAACTGAATGGATTTGAACATCTAGATTTTTACTTGTTATTTTTGAATATTCTGAAGAAAAATTTGCCTTTTTATTTGTTCTTACCAGTTCAGTTTTTGCTATATTATTCAAAGTTTTTTCATCATAAGAGTTTCCTTGTTTATTGCAGCCGGATGTAGATAAGGTTGGTTCCTCATCAAGAATAATGACAATAGATTGCATATCACTTGAAGCATCCAAAGCTTTAATATCTAAAATACCAATAGTCTTCTTGTCATCCTCCATTGTGGCAATCTGTAATTAAAAAACACACATTAAAAAAAAAAAACATTCAAGAAATGATTATAAATCATATTTCAATCACAATTTATCTTTTGACTTTAAGAGACTGGACTTGAAATTATTTAACCCCCTTCCCCCTACCCAAACAAAAAGGATCTATATGGACAATAGCATTTTAGAAATTGATCTAGCCAATATTAAAAGATCTATTTTATTATTTGAAAACTTGATATTGTATGTTTTTAGTGTTGTATCCATTACTTTTGATTTCGTAATGATTACTTTGGCCATTACTTTTCACTGGAAAAGTAATGAAAAGTAAATTACTTTCTCCATTACTTTTTACTGGTGCAGTACTTTTCCATTACTTTCAACATTTAATCATTACTTTCCCATTACCATTCGCTAAAAGATGCATGAAAAAAACAAATTATGCATTATAATACATAATACATATAATATTCTATCATCTATGGCTGCGTCATATAATTAGAATAGGTATTTAATAAAAGCCTGTGTGCCTATTATCTGGGCACATCTTCACAATTTCCTGTTCGAAAGCATAACGTGCATACACTTAATGTATTGCTGATGCAATTATATCAAACAAATGTTTTTCTTTAAAATACAAACAACCCAAAGCAACAAATTTTCGTTCTAAAGTGACAAGATTTATCCAGTGGCATGTCATTCCTAGAAAACTTCAGTTATGACTGCTCCAGATATCAGCAGTAGTACAGACAATCAATACTGCAGAGATGTTCCTTGATTGCAAGACACATCGTGTCATAATCAAACTTTATGCTTTCTGTCAATGTAACTTTAGATGGACATAATCCAGTCACCAGCGCTTTGAAAGAAAGACATTCGACAGTATGGAGAGTTTTCATTTCTACAACTATAAAATCCTGAATGAGTTTGTTAACTGTTTGTTGCGAAACATGTTTTTCTGTTGGTTTGCCGAAGTCTGTTAGACGACACTGTTTTGCTGGGATGCTGATAGTACCTCAGATCGATTTCCAATTCAGACAATTTTAATTGATGTGCAGTCTACAATTAAAGAAAAGCCGTCAATAATTAATACACATTAATACAAGTCTCACAATATTTTAGTTAAACTGCAAATATTAAAAAACTATTAAATTAATAACATTAAATAAAAGTATGTACACAAAAAATTCATAATTTTTTAATTTTGATGGTTTAAGTTAATAACAATATTAATATGTGTAATTAACCTTTAAATGCCTTCTGAAATTTGATGACACTGCTACTCTACCAGATATTAATTTAATTTAGATGCTTTTGACTTAGGGCACAGCTTGCATATTCAAACAACATTGTCTGTTGCTTTTATCGCAGATGAAATAAATTCAAAACAGGCAAATACACCCTTAATATGCCATGACCCATCTTCTTTATCACAACCACTTAATGAAACTGTCATTGCCATAATATTTATTTACTAAATACTTTATATAACTTTAGCTATCTCCATGTTAATGTAAACCAAATGGTCTTTGGATCAGGATTATTAATGATGACATGAGGAATATATTAACCAGAGTTAGGATTCAAAAAAAAGAAATGGGTAATTTAATATCACCATTATTCTTTACTTTCCAAAAAAAGTAACAATTACATTTTCTATTACTTACCACAAACCAAGTAATCATTACTTTGCCATTACTTTGAAAAAGTTAATCATTACTGTAATCATTACTTTCAGCAATCATTACTATACAACACTGTATGTTTTTGACCTTTGTGTTTTAAGTTTGCCAAATGTTGCAAAATTAAGAACTTTTTAAACCTCATATAGTAGAAATATATAGCATATTTTTATATATTACTTTAAAAAATATATAGCACTTTAAAATATACAACAAATAGTTATATTAAACTTACCTGAGCTTTTAAAAGTCTTGAGTAGAAAAGTTCTGATTTTGGGACAAAAAGGTCATTCACCACCATCAAAAGAAACGTCAACACCTCATCTTTTCGCAATAATATAATAGAGTCATTTACCTGGAGCTCCTCCGGATGAACCTAGTTGAAGTTTTTATTATCTATGAAAAACACACATAAATATAAGCAAACATAAAAATAATAAATCATTACCACTATACAATATGAAGCAAATAACTTTTAATGTGACAATTAATAATTATTAATAAGCTCTAAATTTACAATACTGGCTCTAAATCTACAATACAGTAATAATATTTCAAGTAATTATTCATTATAACACTCAGTTACAAATTAAATTGCAATTAGATATTATAATACTATAATAATAATTATTATTATGGTTAATTTAGTAAAATGCTTTCAGTAAGGTGCCACATTAAATATAGAATATGTACATGCCTAAATTGTTTCCTCAAATTATTAATTTTAGATTGAATTTGAGATCAAGTTAATAAAGGTACGATATTGAATCTGTTTGAAAATTCTGCTGCCAATTATTTGTAAACATTTATGTTTTTTCTTGTAGATATTAATAGGGGAGAGCGGTGTGCCTTTAACAGAATAAGTACTCAACATGGTAGAAATTTGATACGTTTTCTTATAGGATAATTAAATTTCACATCAGCCTCATTTAAGATAAAATATTATTCAAACTAGTTCAATTTATATAAACTGTATATTAATTTATATAGCTATATATGATTATAAATTTAAACTAATTTAAATTTAGAAGTATTCAAAACTTACATAAGAAAGAAATTTAGAAGTATTTAAAACTTACATAAGAAAGAAATTTAGAAGTATTCAAAACTTTAACATTATTTAACAAAAATTTATTAAGAAAAGAGTAATAACAAGTCTACATTTAAATTTAAGTCTTTCACTTTGATTTAGTATTTGTCTACTTCACATTCAGTCAATCAAAGTTAATGCCAAATGATAGTTTTTCCAGTTGTTGTGCTGAAACTCCTGTAATAGAGGGATGTGGCAACTGAAAGACCATTTCTGATTTTTCCAACTCATTCACATTTTTATTTTCTTTTGTAAATCTTTGTAAGTTAGTGCTCTTTTTCTAATACTGAATTGGAAAAATGTGTTAGCAACTTCTAGTACCTCTGCTACAAAGTTTTTTACAGCGCGTTTGCCTTGAATTTGTGTCAAGATAAAAACTCCAAGCTGGGTTTTTTTAAATCTGAATCTTTCATAACTTCGAAGTCTATTTCTGACTTGGCAGATACTTTGTCATCCTTTTTTTCAAAACAGGTCCCAGTCATTTATTATCAATTTTGCCTTTCATTTTATTGCCAGATTTTTTATTTTTTTCTCAGCTTTTTCTTCTTTAATTTAAAGTGTTACGGGGTTGGAAGCAAGGCCGGCGCGATAGGGATGTGTGGGGGTGTCACCCCCCCCCCATCAATGATTTTTAGTCAACAAACTGGACCCTTAGTCGGCAAATTGGACCCTTTTAGACTAGTTAGTCAGCAAATGTAGACCCTTTCGATATAGGTTAGACAGTCGGCAAATTTTGGAAAACGAGGACCTTTTTTTTTTTTTTTTTCAGCAAAAGTTGTAATGGCACCCCCCCCCCCCCCATGTGACACCTACTCGCGCCGGCCCTGGCTGGAAGTTAAATTGCAAGATTTTTTCTTAGGATTTTTTCCAGTTTGTACAACATATTTTTTAAAGCATAATTGAAAATGCTCTTTCCAGTATTTAATTATTTTTACTTACTAAGTTATTTATTATTAAGCTTATTACAAAAATAATTACAATTTAATAAAGAAATACACACATACTATACCAAAGAAACTCTTAATAAACAAAAAAAATTATAATAAACTATAACAACATATTACATTAAAGAAATACTTTTATAACAAATTTACTCATAATAGTATTTACAAAATATGCAAGTTTGACAAACTTGCATATTTTGTACAAACTGTTTGTACCTTGGTGGCACTAGTTCGTTATCTCAAACTTTTCAAATGTTTTGAAAACATTTAGTTTTTTTTTCTCCAATTTTTGGAAAGTATTGCTATGAAATTTTTTAAAATTCAATTTTTAAATTTGATTTTTTTATGAATCGGTTTCTGAAAAGTATTACTTTAGAAGATTAATTTATTGTTTTTGTCAAATACGAAAATATGTCGCTCATTAAACTTGCAATGCATTAAGAGACCTGGAGAAAGAGATGTCTAACAAAAAGGTTGCGGAAAAGTATGGTATCCCAAAGAAAACAATATCAACATGGTTTAAAAATAATCAAATTATTCACTGCTGTTTCACTCAATATCAGCCAGTTTTTTTTTTTTTTTCGTGATTAAGCCAAAAGTAAAATAAAAATAAACCAGAAATAAACCAGACCAAAAAAAAAAGATAAAAATCATAATTTTTTGTTTTAAAGCCTTGTTTATAACTTATATTTTGAATTTTGAATTTGTAAGAGAGCAAGGGAGGAGGAGAAGAACGAGTTAGTCAATATTTTACAGGTTGCCAGTCCAGCCTTTAAAGCGGCATGAGAAAAGTAGTTCACTCTTAAACACCTATACTAAATCCGACACTATGAACCTGTAAAATATGTTGTTTTGCTTGCATATTGATATAGATTTCTTTTCCAACCTTTGCTATAATTAATTAAATTACTTTAAAGTCCTGGTAAAAAATCTTTCGCCTTATTAAATATGACTTGATCCAAATGACTGCATGCAAGACTTGGTTTAATACTTTCTTACTCTGATTTTTATGCAAATAACCTGTGAGGAGACTCAACAAAAAAGTTAGAAACAGAACACATAGACAGCCAAGGCATCTATGTTGCAGAGGCCTAGGTCTCCGGAAACTACTAAATGGTCTCACAAAGTAGTTTAGAATTCAGCGGTGTTTTTTAGAAACTCATTTTTCTTAAAAGTGTTTAGACTCGCTCTAATGATGCAATGTCAATTAATTTATGATTAATGGCAATTTCTGTAATGATTTTCAATTTCTTCACTCTTTGGATCCATAATATATAACAGTATATTTGAAATAGTTTTTTTAACTTAAGAAATAACATTCTTTACAGGCAGACATTTCTCAATAAATGTCATTTTGAATGTAAGAATTTTCTAATATTTTTGGCAATTAAGGGATAAAAACAATATTTTAATGACTTTACAAGTAAAAGATTTGAGCATTTTAAGATTTGAATGTAAGCATTTCTTTCATTTGTTTTAAACTTGATTGTTCTTGTATAAAATAAAAAAATGGAAATCTTTTTTTCCCCTTAAATTAACTTTTTCATGAAATAAAAACTTGACTAAACTGATTTTATATTGAATTGATTATACTGAATATTAAATAAATCAGAATTAAACCAGATTTTAAAAAACATACTAGAAAAAAAAACGAAAAAAGACCAAAGACTTTAAAATAAACCAGATTTAAACCAGATTTTCTAAAACAAACCAAAACAAAAGTGCCAAGCCAAACAATAAAAAAACAAACCAATTTTGATAAATCTGGCTTTAAAAAACACCAGATGGCAACCCTGCTCAATATAAAAACGAGCCTGACGTCAGTTTGACGTGAGTTAATCAAAAAAAAAACATTTCCGCACAAAAAGTATAAAAATTCACTAACAACTATTAAAATAGTTGTATTTTTTTTCTATAAACGCTTTCATCTTTAAATAACAAAAATATAAAAGATCTATTTTTCCTTGTTAATTAAATAATTACATTAAACGGAATGAAAATAAATAATGTTATAATATTGCCAATGATTTGTGATCACTTTTCTGTTTTTTGCGATATTTACAAGCAAACATGGCTCGGGACAACTAAAATATTCTGATATAGCTACATGCTAAATGGTTGAAATTTGGAACACTTATCAATGAATGTCTGTTATATCTGATATATGGTGCCCCTTGCTTATTTTTTGAAGAAAAGTTAGTTTTTAACGCATTCTATTTTTAACTTAATCACAATTAAATCAAAATTGTAATTTTTTTGCAAGGGGCATCAAATTATCGAAAATGTAATCCTTCATACTTATGAAAATTAAAAAATCACTTTCTGTATCTCTAGCTATGTTAGATCATATGTCTTCAGACTTTGCTGGTTTACAATATTTTTTTTATTTTTATGCGTAAATTTTTGTTTACATTTTAAAACAATCACGTGACCTTTAATATTCTACGAGTAAAAAAATAGTGATTTGCTTTAGTGACATAAATATTGCCTATTTCAGTTAAGGATTAGGTTCAAATAAATTTATTTTTTATTTAAAGTGGTCTTACAATGTGTATATTTAACTTTAAATATCTAAAATTCATTTTTTCAATTTTTTTTTGTGATAAAAAGTGATAACAAATTACTAAAATTACTAAAAAAATTACTAAAATTACTTAAAAAATAACAAATTAAAAATTTTCTTCGACTTTAGATAAAACGCGCCAAATAATAAGCTCGGAATTATTTTTAAAATAAAACAAGAAGCCGTAAAGCTCACTTTGAAACAGCCGTGTATTGACCGGTTTTGTCTAGATCATATTCGACTCGCAATGGTTTTGACGAGTTAAGTAATTTGCCGAACTACTTAGGGATAATAGTAGTGAGTGTACATATATCTACTGATTTAGGGATAGACGCAGTGGAGTGTACGTACAACGACTGATAGGCACAATAAAGTAAACACACATCGACTGAAAGTTTCGGTTTAGAGAGGCAGCATTCCAGTCTAGTATTTTATTGTTCGACAAAATACTAATAACATAAAATCGTTGCGAGTGGAATACGATCTAGAAACAACCTTATTAACCTCGTTGGAAAAAAATGGTATAAAATCTAAATCTAAACTTTTTTACTTATAACTTAGATTTCAATTCAGTAGAAAGACATTATTTTGAGGAACATAACACTATTATTAACTCAATTTTTTCAGAAAGTGGAGATAGAACAAGATAATTCTTACGTCGTGATTTGTTGGTTTCTTAATTGGAAAGAAAAGTCAGTTAAATTTTGTCAAATCTTGTTTCAATAAACAAATACACATATACGAGCATTGAATTTTTCAAACATGTAACTAAAATTCAATTATTCTGCTTATTATTAAGTCCGACTAACAGGCAAC